TAGTGTGCATATCTATAAATTTATTCACTCAGATATATTCCACGTTGTTTCATTCCTTTAAACTCCCCATTGAGTCCGAACTAGTCTAGCATTTCCGAAATACACACATCCGAGAAACCATTGAAAAAAAAAGAATCTTTTCTTGAAATCCTTGCAAAATTTTATATTCATAAACGAAAAGAGCTGAATTGCTCATTAGTCCTTACTAATGAGCAATTCAGCTGTTTACTTCATTAGAAATGTTATGAATAACTAAGTTTTATATTATTATTTTTAACTTCTTTAAAAAATACAACTCCCGCATTAGGAATATATCCTGTGTCGCGGGGCACTTTACAAACAGACACAAAGAACACCCAGACTCAGAACTACAATTTGTGGATCACACAAAGTGTCGTCCCATGTGGGGACCGGACCCACAAGTAAAGTATGAAAGGTAAAACTTTATATAAACTTGGTTATTGCCCACATTTCTAGTTAGCATAGACTCTTACGTCTCTGTGTTGATAGTGTCTCAAACAGGCCAAGATTCTATTTATGTATAGATAGATTCAAACTCGACTTTTTAGAAGTTGTTTATTCACTTTCGCTAAAGTATATTTACGTTGACATACGGTTCCTTATATAAACACGATAATTTTTTTATGTGTATATCTTTTTTGTTTGTTATTGTTACTCGGTTGTGGAATACATAGAAGACAAAAATGCTTGGGAATAATTTGTTATTTAATACCGTTACCAATTTACCATTAACTCTTTAATTTATTGTATCTGATAACTACATGTGACGAGTAATCTTTTGATTGCAAACATGTGTACAATGTACATATAATATCTGGACAAAAATAAACCGTTAAAAAGTTCTATTCCTTCTTAAAAAAATCGGTTTCAAGCCTTTTTTCATCTCTTAAAGAATATAGTCTTGATAGCTAGATAAATAATGATATGCTGCTGCACGGATGGCGTAGTGGTTTAGGTTTGGTAGGAACGACACTTTGTGTGATTCACAAATTGTTGTTCTGAGTCTGGGTGTTCTTTGTGTCCGTTTAGTGTGTTTGTAAAGTCCCCCGCGACACAGGATATATACCTAACGCGGGAGATGTCTTTTTAAAAAAAAAAATCAAGACAAATCTTACCTATATTTATTTGTCGGAACATGGGTATAAAGTATTAAAATATTGTCCACCTCAGTCTTACCGTGTTCTCGCGTCTAAACTACACACAGACATAACATTTGATGGTGAAATTTTATAAAAAATGCGTGACAGCTAGCTAACGTGGCACCGATTTTTTCCCTACTTTTTCGAACTTTCCCTCGGCAGTGACCGGTGAATGTGCTAGCAGCAGATAGACGTCGAATGAGGTCTATTGGTTGCGTGGAAGTTTTTGTTAGAAACGCACACTTTACTTCGAATTTGATTTGAATTGGTCACCACTAGGAGATTCTTAAATAAACGGACTTAATTTAACTGTGTGAACTCTGTAAGCTCAGCAAGTGATACCATGGCATCACAGAAAACCGGTGTTTAGGACAATTCATGCTTTTCACCGAGCTAGTGACGTAACAGGAGTTCCTCTCGCCCTCCCCTATTGTAGGAGAAAGGCACTCAAAGATTGGGAACACACGTTGTCCTTGAGTGGCATGCGTCCATCAACGGCGATAACCACTTACCAAAATAGAGATTAAACATTTCACTTCGTTTAATCAAAGTTTTTTTTTAAATTGACCCTTGAACTGTCTATGGCCGTGATTTTTTAAGCACACGCAGATACAGCGAACAACAATTTGTTATTGCATGGGTACTCCGGACGCAAGTGTTTATCTTAACCGAAGTTAATGTCCATGTCTGAATGTAACGTGTTGTTCCACATTTGTTCATTTTGATAACAGTATATTGTAATGGTTAACAATTGCCTTTCTAACGAAAACGTACATAGTTAACTTTATAAAATAAATAGGGGAGATTAACCAATATTAAACCGGCGCTTAAATTTGACTACATGTATTTCTACCAAAATGGCACTATTTGGTATAATCTATTGGCACAAAAAGGAGCGCGACAAAATGGCGGAGTATTAGTAGCGCTGCTATCGCTAATTTTTTGTTGCTAGTTTAAAAAAAATAGTGTCATTTTGGTAGAAATACATAAGTAGTTCAATTTAAGCGCCGGTTCAATAATGGTTACTCTCCCCTATGTACCTTAATGCGCTTAAATTAGAATGAAATGATATGAACTATATTCATTATTCTATTTTCCAACCTTATTGGTTGTATTTTTTTTCCAAATTCGAATGGGTACCAACGGGCAGTATACCTTTCAAATTAAAAGAAAAAGAAGTTCTGATGTTTATCATGTCATCATTATCATCAACAGTCTTTAATAGTCCACTGTTAGACGTAGGCGTCTCATTAGAAAGGAGGTTCTGGCCTATACTACGCTGGCCAGAGAAGAGATAGGTTAGTACAGCGTTGGCTACAAGTTTTCCTTATCTTTGCAGTGCTGTTGTCCTGCGTAGTTTGCTTTCTTAGTTGGGTCTTACGACACCCACGGGATGAATATCGGTGGTGACATTCCGTATTCTTAATCTGTTATAACAAGGATAGTTCTGAGGTTACAACATAAAAAAAAAATGAATTAAGACCCTCCACCAAGTCGGTTAGATCAAAAGATAACTTAGATTTTGTCATGTCTTAATTTGTCTTTTTCAAAATTTCTTAACGGTCTGTTGAATAGTTTAGGATTGAAATAGAGATAAATAAACAAAGTAACTCACATTAAACTTTTTACAACATAAAATTTTTACAACATTAATTAGGATATTTCTTTTTTTTACATAAAAAAAAACAAGAGAGATACTCGTACAGTTACCTATTCTATGATTTAAAGTGTTCGTTAAATATTTATGAAACTCGTAAACCGTTACAGTCTGAAGGCTGCGTTACCGTTACGTAACTGTGATAGTCTATTTTTCATAACTCGGTTACAAGTACGTGACTTTTTATATCAGTAATGGTAAAACGAACTTGAAGAGTTCGTTTGATTTATTTATTAGGTTAACTCACAGCACATTTATGTAACATTAATGGTAACATCTAAGTTATAAGGTTCTGATATACATGCCAATTACGAGCTAACACGGCATTCACAGTTTAGACAACATAATAACAAAATCACATTGATATATAGGTATTAAAAACTTAACTTAACACTATTGGTCTGGTGAGTTTAGTGGTTGCAGTAACGATCAGTATACACGTTTGATGCTTTGATTTTTTGGGTAAAATAGTTAATTTTTATATAACTAATGGTTAAAACGAATTTGACGAAATCATTTGAGGTTAAGAGTTTTTGGATAAGGTTGGTAAGTTAAGTAGGTTAGTTAGGCTGCTTATGTTCCTGTCCTAGTAGCCTCTCCAATAAGAGGCCAGCCATAAATTACATCAGCCCAATTTCATGGTGTTTTAACCCCACCCCCGTCTTGGTTACTGGTTGGACACGTTTGTGAGGCTCCCCCTCCTCTAGTGTGACGTCATGTATTGTGCAAATTTACATCTAGACATTGTTAAATTTAAACAGTAGTTGCGATATTAGTTTTATTACTGTTTATAATCTAATTTCGCATTTTAATAATTAGATAAGTGAGGTTTTGAAATATGATGGCACGAAACTTAGAAACCTCCCACCCCTGGTCACACAATATCACACTTCCTAGACGATACGGTCACGCAACCCCAACTCCTTCCAACTACTGCAGTCTCAGTCCAGTTTCTCATCTAAGGATAACACTACTGTACGCTTTTCGAGACACTTTTTGCCCCGCACAACCAAACTGTGGAACGGGTTATTGTCGGCTTTATTTCCGGACCGATACGACCTTCAAGAAAAGAGCGTACTTCTTCCTAAAAGGCCGGCAACGCCTTCACCGATGGTCACTTTCCATCAGGTGACCCGTCTGCACGTCTCTAACATAAAAAAAAAACCAGAAGCTGTATTTCTTACTACAAATTACTTACTTGTTTTGCCCGTCTGGAATCGATTTTACATCCCCAACGAGAGTCAGCGTCCGGCAGGTGGCCAGGTTATAAAAGAACAGACAAAAACCTTTGGCAATTTTACTGAATTGCACTAATTGCAAGTAAATTGGGAACAGATTATAGTAGATGACGATTAGTGGGGTAGATGAAAGAATGCCTAGAAAGCGCGAGAACACGATAAATTCCTGTACAGGTAGGTGAAGGTATATATACTACGAAATTTGTCCAATGTCAGCTTTATTATATGAAGCAGATATTATCAAAAACTCTGCCCAATTAGGGATCAGGCGGCCGCGTGTGAGATGTGTCAATTTATTTTTATACATGCTAAACTTTAAGTTATCAAAACATCTCACGTATCAAATATTTACATAGTAGGTAAGTAGTAAAGAATAAAATTTGGCAGAAAAATTAGCTCCTTGGTGGCTACCTTAAATCAACCGCCATTAATATTAATAAGGTAAGCCTGTGCCAAGTTTTCTTTTTAAATATTATCATCCTTTGTTACATGAGGAGTAAAGTTGTAAATTTTATTGGCATACGCAAGATAGCTGGCAGATAAAGTTATTGTTGGATCATAAAGGAATACATGGAATAAATTGGCTGATAACCTCGAGACAGTAATCTGATCCTTTGTAATACACTTTATTTTAGTACCACACATATATTTTATGTATATATAAAAGCATATAAGGAAGTACTTAAGAAAGGGTACAAATGATTTTTTTCTCAAGATAGCGGACATCTGCACTGCCTTTTTAAATTTCATACATACATACATATACTTACGACTTATTCCCGTCCGGGGTAGGCAGATATAATAGAGCGCTTATATTGTCAACCAACCCTCTTTCGGGATGAAGTTTATAAACCCGTAAGCGCCTTTAAATAAAGAACACAAATAGGGATACAGCACTTACTTGTAAAATTTCCCATCAAGTACTTATCATTACTTTTTTTTCAGGTATTCTTCTGTTACAAGCACGACGTATTTGGTGACAGCGAACTCAACAGTGAATGTAGGTATTTTTTTAAATATATATATTTCAGTAATTTCTAAATTATAATAGAATTATTCTTTCTTTTCTTTTTTTAAAAAGACAACTCCCGCATTAGGAAAATATCCTGTGTCGCGGGGGACTTTACAAACATTCATGAAACGGACACAAAGAACACCCAGACTCAGAACAACAATTTGTGGATCACACAAAGTGTCGTCCCATGTGGGGTTTGAACCCACAACACTCAGCGTAGTAGGAAGCGACGTGGCGACCGCTTAAACCACTACGCCATCCGTGCAGTCTTATTGCCTACGAGGGGTGATCAATAAGTAATGATAATCGAGTATTTCTAGAACGCACAAAAACCCAATTTTTTTTTTTCTGCTTGCTTATATATCCACTACTTCAGCTTCAAAAAAATGTATAAATAGGACACCATTACCGGGAGATACATTCATTTGAATACGAACTGTCAAAGAGAAAACATCAAAATGGAGAAAAATGAAATAAGAGCTGTCATCAAGTACCTCTGCCTGAAAAAAATGTCTACCAAAGACATACACAGCGACTTAGAGGAAACATTGGGGGAGTCTGCTCCTCCATATTCCACAGTCGCACGCTGGGCAAAGGAATATAAGCTGGGCAGAACCTCCACTGAAGATGAACATCGCGAGGGACGCCCTTCCACGTCCCTTACTGGAGAAAACGTCAAAAAAGTGGAAGATATCGTGTTGGCCGATCGAAGGGTGACCGTAAGGCATGTAGCTGAGGTCACAGGGATCTCCTATGGCAGCGTTCAAAAAATCATTGTCAACAAAATGCATAGGAAAAAGGTCTCTGCGCGTTGGGTACCGAGAATGTTAACCGACGAGCAAAAAAAGAAACGAGTCGACATTTCGAGGGTGAATCTTCAAAAGTTCCAGGCCGATAAAGAATTTTTTTTGTCGCGTTTTGTGACCATGGATGAGACCTGGATCCACCACTTTGATCCCGAAACCAAACAACAATCAATGACTTGGAAACGAGCTTCCTCACCAACGCCGAAGAAATTCAAAGTGTCAAGTTCAGCGGGAAAGGTTATGGCGTCTGTTTTCTGGGATGCAGAAGGAATTATTATGGTGGAATATTTGGAAAAGGGGGCCACTATAACAGGCTCTTACTACGCAGGCCAAATAAGAAGATTGCGAGAAGCTATTAAGTCAAAAAGACGCGGTAAACTGCGCGCTGGAGTGCTGTTTCACCAAGACAACGCCCCGGCTCACAAAGCCGCAGTTGCGATGGCTGCCATTGAAGAAACGGGGTTCGAACTGCTCGAACACCCTCCCTATTCCCCAGATCTAGCTCCCAGTGACTTCTACCTCTTTCCTCGGCTCAAAGAACACCTCCGGGGCAACAAATTTGAGGACAATAGTGAAGTGATGGCCGCAGTAGAGGCATTTTGGGAGGGTCAAGACAAAGATTTTTTTTCTAAGGGAATCATGGGCTTAGAAAAAAGATACACTAAATGTATTAACTTGCAAGGAGACTATGTTGAAAAATAAAATACTTTTTTTAATCTAATAGTTCTGTTTCATATTGATTATCATTACTTATTGATCACCCCTCGTACATATTGTTCCTGCAGGCATGTCCCCGACATCTATTTCCATAATATTGCGTGTGTTTTAAAATAAAACGAACTCTTCGACGACAACGAACTCTTCATGCACGTCTTCGATATTATTGGTATAATCCCGTAAACATCTTATATATAAAATTCTCGTGTCACAATGTTACTTACCATACTCCTCCGAAACGGCTGGACCGATTTTTATGAAATTTTGTGTTCACATCGGGCAGGTCTGAGAGTCGGCCAACATTTATTTTTCATACCCCACCCCTTTTTTTTTCCGTGCGGAAATCCCCTCGGATACCACCTGTTGGTGGCATGTCGGACTCGAACCGACTAAAACCGCACGCCGTCTCGGGTACTAATAGCCGGGGAACCAGGTATACCCTAGAAAGGAAGTCCCTGGTGCCCCGACATACCTCGGCTCATCTACAGACGAGTAGACGACCCCCCCCGTGTGGGAACGCCATGTTCCCTGTGCTCCCTGGAAGCGAGCGCGCTTCGCAACGCGCTCGCCGCCACCCCGGCTCATACCCCACCCCTAAATATTTTTTTTCAATATTTCCTAGAAATAATGTATATGGCAAAACAACGTTTGCCGGGTCAGCTAGTAATTGTATATTATGGAATGTTATAGTTTAAAAGTCCCGACAGTTAAACGTATATATATGATCGATTCGATTGCAAGGTGAAACTTAACTCGATTCATTTAATCGTATCGTAATTGGGTTTCAGTTTCCGCAAACGTTTGTATAAATTACATGTTCTAGAAACTTCTGAAGTGATTTATATATGTATACTAGCTGAGACCCGCGGTGTTACCCGCGTTTGTTGTTATAACCGCGTGCAACGCCGCGGGGCGAAGCTAGTCTAAAAAAAGTAGCCTTAGTTACTCCTTATGCCATCAGCTATCTGCCAGTGAAAGTCCCGTCGAAATCGGTCCAGCCGTTCCAGAGATTACCCGGAACAAACAGACAGACAGACAGACAAAAATTGTAAAAAATGTTATTTTGGCATATGTACCGTGTAAAAATACATATGCATTTAGTAAAAAGCGGTTATTTTAATATTACAAACAGACACTCCAATTTTATTTATTTGTATAGATAACAATATTTATAAATATATTTACTTTAGAACAATACCTTAGGGTTTTTTCTTTATTGTATTTATTTAGAAGTGATAAGGTATGCATAGGTGCTCGCTAATATGTTATATTGAGTGTTTTTTATGGGGTGTCACCTGATGGTAAGTGACAACCGTCACCCATGAACCGAGAGGTGAGGTTTGTCTTTGGGTCTGTGTCTTTGGGTTTGTCTCAGATTTGACCTGTTGGTCTAGTGGTTAGTGACCCTGACTGCTAAACCGGAGGTCGTGGGTTCGATTCCCACGCAGGACAAATATTGTGTGATGAGCACGATCATTTTTTCTGTGTCTGGGTGTACTTTATCTATACTATGTATGTATTTAGAAATATTTAAGTATGTTTATCAGCAGTCTGGTTACCATAGTACAGGTTCTGCCTGGTTTGGGATCAGACGGCCGTGTGTGAGATGTGTGAGGTTATTATATTATAAGTATTATATTATACTATCTACAATTCAAGAGTCACGACTGCATTGTGGCTTTTAACGTGACCCTACCCTAGAATTAGAAAGGTTTTAGGCTCTGTTGACCTCATTTATCTGTGAACAGCAACGAAATAATGGCTTAAAACTGTGAGGCAGTGGTGTCACTCCTATCTATCTGGTCCATTTGTGCTGAAGCACAGCTCTCTCACGGTTACAGTCTTCGAACAGTCAATAACGGTATCCCTGGGTAATGATGGTGCTACTATTTATTTGAATGCAATGCATTGTATTCCATTGACACGCTATTGAGATGCCATTGACATCGGTCAAAATATCGGTATTCTACTAACATAAATTGACAGTGTCATTAGACTGTATGACAATTGCTCATCAATGGTGACATTAACAACATTGCCATATCTTGTAAATTAAATATACCTTATGAATTTAAAATATACCGTTTACCAAACTATTACAAAGACATCGACGACATTTGTATTTGTGGCAGTTTAGTGAAAAGTCATCCAGAGGCCATTGATCTTACAGCATCTTACGTTAGTAGAATACGAAAAGTACAAAACTTTTCCGACGACATTGATACAATATTTCTTTCCTACCATTATATACCTTACTTTCTAACCTACCTTTCTTTTCATTGTGTTCTTAATTTTCCTATTATCCATATAATATTATCTTGACTGGCCTGTTGGTCAAGTGGTTAGTGACTCTGGCTGCTGAGCCAGAGGTCGACGGTTCAATTGCCAACCAGGACGAATAATTGTGTCTCGGTGTAATTTATTTATAAATTGCATGTATTTAGAAATATATAAGTATGTTTATCAGCATTCTGGTTAATAGTACAGGCTCTGCCTAATTTGGGATCAGACAGCCGTAAGTGAGTTGATAAAAAAATATTACCTACGTGCTAGTGTAAGAGCGTGTACTGCGTTATACGCAGTTTCTTCTTGGAAGGTTTTGAGCACTGTCGACCTCGCAAGCTTCCTTTAGTGACTCTCTGACTGCCTTCGTGGTGCAGTGGTAGTGTATGCGACTGCTGTGCTGAGGTCTAGGGTTATATTCCATGGTTGTTTGATCTGCAAACATTTGTGTCGGAGTTTGGGTGTTTTCTATGTATTAAAAAAAAGTATATAAGTATTCATCATCATCATCATCAACAGCCTATAACAGTCCTCTTCTGGACATAGGCCTCTCCTTAGAAAGGAGGTTTTGGCCTACTATACCACGCTGGCCAGACGGGTTGATATAGGGTTTGTTTCAAGTTTTCCTTCTCTTCGAAGTGCGTTGTCCTGCGTAGTTTGCTCCCTTAGTCGCCTCTTACGACACCCAACGGGATGAATAACGGTGGTGACATTCCGTATTCTTAATCCGTCACCACACGGATATAAGTATTCTATCAGTCAATCTAGCTTTCATAGTACAAGATCTGCTTAGTTTAAAACTAGATGGCGTTGTGTGTTAAATGTCCGAAATGTGATATATTATAATTTAAGAGCTGTGTGACGTTTGACGGCGATGGGCTTAACTCTACCTAAGCGGGACTAAAATTTTTTTGGCAAATGTGTTTAACCCATTAAAGGTCAAATGAAAAGTACCTATGTTTTTTTTAAATTATCTTTATTTTTATATTCAAATAAGTACACAGAAACACGAAACGAAAGAAAAAAATGGAAAAAATTTAGATTTCATAAAATTTCAGGGGTCGAGTACAGCAACATTATATGACTGTAGTTTTATTTTAGTAATGAATCATTGATTGTATTGTTTATTATAACTTACTCTGACATTTATTTTATACTAATGAAATAAAAAAATAACTT